TTTTGAGGGGTGGGAGTTGCTAGCAGGTTTGTAGGTATGTCTGCATGTATTCTTTGTCTGGTCTTTCACTTCATCTTGTCAGCTTCTTGCAGAAATCTAAGTCAGTATGGCAATCCTTTCTCAAAAAAAAAAAGGTCTAAGTGGACTTCGCATCGTCAACTGGTGTCTTGTGTTCCCTTGGCATCCAAGACCTTAACAGTGACTATAAAAACACTATTGTTTGTAAAGGCATCCATGTGTACATAGTGGCTGGAGTACTTAAGTTATATTACTATCTTTTATGTTCTGAAGGCTGATAAGTTCTCCTAATTATTGGTATCTTTCTGCAAAACCTATTTACCATCCCTCTCATTATTTGATACTCGATGAGCTTCTTTGTGATAGGAGCGGGAAAGGGACCACTTCTCTCAATTTATAACTGAAGGTTTCACTTCCTATTGCAAGAGAAAAAGGAGAGACAAGGTACGTCATGTTGTAGTTCACTAGTATTCCCTGTCCCATTTGTTGCTTCTGTCAGACTGGTAAAAATTTTAAGCAATTAATATACATTGCAGAAGGTATGTCCACTTTATGGTCTTAGAGATAATTTCTCTGGATTACTCGGTTTATGCATCCATTGGAGAAATTGCTAAGGGCGCGGGAAGATAGTAATGCTGTACTTAGTTTTTTTTCCTTTTCCTTTTTCACCATTTATGCTCTTACATTTGTGCTTCTTGATTACTTTTAAATCACTTCATTTTATGAAACCTTTATGCTAAAGAGATTCTGGCTGCTGTTCGAGTCTAGCGTCCAATGATTAACCACCTTCTATTTCGTTTTCTTATCGAAAAAAGGGAAAAAAAAAAAACTGGATGTTAGAGAAGTTAAAGAGCTTATATCATCTTTCAAGAGCTTGTGTGACCTTTGCTGTGGCTCCTGTTTTGTTTGTCTGTTTGACATATATGTATTTCATGCATGTCTTTGTCCTTTCCCATATCCTTTTTTTGGGGCCATCAAAATAATGATTCTCATGATTGACTTTGTAGGTTTATGGCAACAATGTGGAGATTCAAGCTCTGTGTGAAATGTATAATCGCCCTATTCACATATACTCTTATAGCACAGGTAACTTTTCTTTTGTTATTCTTTTTTCAAATATCAGTAATGAATCTATGACTACTAGGCAAGCCTCTGTGGACTATGTGTGCGCTACGTGAATTTAATTTGTGGAATTCACTAATGCAGAACCAATCAATACATTCCATGGAAGTTACAATACAGACAGCCCTCCTATTCGACTCAGCTATCATCATGGAAATCATTACAACTCTCTTGTTGATCCACGTCGACTAACAGTTGGTGCTGGCCTTGGGTTTAGCTCTCTACAAGGGGTAAAATTTCCTATCTACAAATTGGCATGATGTTTACTTTCTGTAGCTGTTGAAACTGGATAAACTTCATTGGCTGTGCCTACAGCTCTTGGGTGTTCAATTATGTGGGTCATGTTATTTTTTTTTTACGAACTTTGTAGTTTGTTAGCTAAAGCATCTAGTAGATCTGTTTTCCATCCTTACCTTCTGATTTTATTTTATTTATTTATTTTTATTTTTTGTTATAGAGGAACGTTGATAAGGATCAGGTCAAAGCAGCAATAAAAGCTCAACAGGATCAGCAAATTGATAATGTGAGTAACCTTAAAACTCGCGATCTGAATTACTTTCACAAACCGGGCAATCATTTGGTTTCGTGTTATGTTAAATGGTTCAATTCAGGCACTTCTGGCAGAAGGACGCTTTTATTCTGATCTTGAGCTCACTGAAAAGGAGATAGAACGCATGGTAATGGAAGCTTCTAGGGCTGAGTATATTGCCAATGACAAATTCAGGCAGCAGTTTGGTTGTCGAGAATCTTCCACTTCTAGTGCTGAACCATCATCATCAGGAGCTAGTAAGTTCGAGCTGGCACTCCATTGGGGAATTGGCATTCGTGAACAATTCATGATTCTTTTGTTTGTTCTTCTATTGTGATAAGACTCAACTGGTTATGGTCTTGCAGGGTCATCAGGAAGTGAAGCGAAGCAAGAAGGTGGGGGGCGAGAAGTTCTTAGTGACTGCATCCAGATTATGCTGTCGATGGGATTTAGCTATGCGCGAGTAATAGAGGCTTATAGCATATTCGGGGATGATGTGGATTCAATGGTATGTTATCTCATTGAAACCAGCAGTAGCAGCAGACGTAAAGGAAAAGCAACTGAATGAGGAAAAACAAGAAAGACTTGCAAATGAGATATTAGTTTCTTTTTTCTCCCTATTAGTATAACTATAGCGTTGTCTCTGGAAACCTCGAACGTAGTATTTTCATTCTTAAATCTACCATCGAAGTGTTGCCTGATCTTCTTCCTTTGCTGCTTTCTGCTTCTTGTAGAGGAATGTTTGCATCTCTATGAATAATTTCTTTTAGAACATAGTGTTTACACGGAAGGGTTCTGATACTAATCTGTCCTTTTTCCTGTTTTCCCAATTATAAAAATAAAACCTTTTGGAATATATACGTCTTTATGGTACTTGACTATTACGTGTTGATTGAATTCACCAAATCTGTATCGATTGTTTCCATTTTATTTCGCGTAAGCAGAACGTGTTAAGACTGCGATGTATAGAGTTGAGGCATCTGATATCTGTTCGTGTTCATAACTAATTTCAGAAATTTGGGTTTTTTTTTCTGTGGCTTTTTTGGTTTTATTTTCCTTATAGAAAACCGATATTTCCAGTTCATTTCTACCGAGTGCAAAAGGTGTCCCTAGAGTTATGGGGGAGACCATCGTTTTGTAAGTAGAAATAATTAACAAAAAAGCTATGAAAATGGAGATAAAAATTAACTTGTCCCATGAGAAAAGTTATCGCATAATTGAGATAATAGCGCGTTCGTTGATGTGTTTGAGTAGTAAACATAAAGATAGAAATATACGCAAGTGTTTGATAATTGTAAGGAGGTGACATTTCTTCCCTCGAGGGTTTAAGCAAGAAGATCTTAAAAGCTCAAATCTGGAGCAATTCAATATCTCCTACGCTCGAGGTACTTTATAAAATTATCAAACCAAACAATTACTAACTTCGGCACCTTTTCCATTCCAATGAGAATAACATTGCATAGAAAGTTGAATTACTTTTTCATTAACAAGACCTTTTCAAACATTTAAATCCTTAAGAAAATTGATATCCGAATAGACAACAACAAACAAAAATTGTTGAATAAAAGTGCCCAACTAAGTATGATAACTAAGTATGATGACAGTGACCTTTGTGAAGAACACAGCTGTTCAGAATCTGAATTTATCAGAAATGCAGTTGAATGTAAATGGTAAGAATTTACCATCTGATTTACAGCAATTACTTGATAAGTATTCTCCTATTTTTGATGCTCCTGGTGAATTGCCACCTCATAGAAGACATGACCACAGAATTGTATTGAAAGCTGGGGGTTCTCCCATTAATGCGAGGCCCTATAGATACCCTGCCACCCAAAAAGATGAAATAGAGAAAATGATAAGAGAGTTACTGCAGTCGGGTTATTAGGCCTAGTGTGAGTCCCTATTCCTCTCCTATTGTGATGGTTAAGAAGAAAGATGGGTCTTGGAGGATGTGCATTGATTATAGGGAATTAAACAAAGGGACAGTGAAAGATAAATTTCCCATCCCAGTAATTGAAGAGTTGTTGGATGAACTAGGTGGAGCAAAATTCTTTGCTAAACTGGATCTTAGTTCCGGATACCATCAAATTAGAATGTGTCCCACCCATATTGAGAAAACTGTATTCCGATCACACCATGGTCATTATGAGTTTGTTGTAATGCCTTTTGGTCTCACAAATGCCCCTTCCACATTCCAAAGTTTAATGAACCATATTTTCTAGTCACATTTGGGGAAATTCATCTTAGTTTTCTTTGATGATATCCTTATCTATAGTGTGTTGGTCCAGTCACATGGCCCATTTGGAGACAGCTTTTCAAATTCTGAAAATCAACAAATGTTCTTTTGGGGAGAGAGAGGTGAATGTTAGAAGTTATGAGGAAGTATTCCATACCATTCTTTTTGAGGCTAAGGAAATAATAGCTTACTGAAAAAACTTTGTTAGAATATAGTTAAATTAATACTGTAACAACTTAAGCTTCTGATAAAATGATTACACACTTCATGATGGCATTAGAGCAAGAAATCCCAAGTAATTGTCTCATTTGTCACCCGCTAGTTAAATAAAAAAAATTCACATGCTTGGGCCATTTAAGAAAGAATCACGCGAGGGCATGTCAAAAAACGTAATGAAAGACATGACCAAGTAGAAGCGTCTAATACCATCTCCACAAACGAATTGCCTGTCAAATAAAATAATACCCAGTGATATGCCATTTTGAAGCATCTTATTTTTCAAGAACATAGCTTCATTTGGTTAACTGTCTACAAATTAATAGTCTATACAAGGAAGCTCGAAACTGTGACCTCTTAAGTAGCCGGCTATGAGAATTGCATTTGTAACTCAGCAAAAAATTCATGAATACGTAATTCACTATCAAAGCAAAAAATGCGTAATTTCTCCCATGGAACGTTAAAAACTTTCTAACTACGACACATTGAACTACAGATGAATAGGGAGCAACTCATCCAAGGACGATTTTCCTTGAGCCTACAAAACGTAAAGCCAGCTTCACAATTTGCTGGAGCCTGAAGCTGAAATTATCTGGCATCGAAAATCAAGCAGTTTTCACTTTCCGAGATGGAGGACGGCGGAACAGACTGATAAGATCGTCAAGACCCTGTTAAGCAATACCATTGTCACATTCAGTTCTCTTTTCTTTCCATTAGATTTTTCCAGTCCTTGTTTTAGTTTGTTTTAGTGGTAAGGGGTTTAAGGAGGAACACAAAATTAGCAAACCAGAAGGAAATAATCAGGGATTTAATAAACTAAGAGTCATACCCTGGTGGTGATGACAAGAAAACTGAAAAGTGTAATCAAGTATGATCCGAGAACTAACAGCAAAAGCAAATCGAATGTTACGCTGGCAACCTACAATAAGAAGAAAGTAAGGTGTTAGATTTCTACAGGTAATGATGAGGAACATGATTTGCCACAATAAGCTCAAAGGTAAATCAAGTAATATGACTCTAGATTAATAGAGGTGCAAGATGAAACAGAACGGCCACGTTAGGCAAGTGAGGCCTCAACAAAATAGGCCTATCTGTTGAAATTATAATTGGACCTAAACAATTCAACTATGATCAATGATAAAATGTACTGTACACTAACAACCTCATTTCTTTACTACCGATTACCGAACCACAATTTTCAACACTTCTCTATCAAACTAAATTTTATAATATATTTGAACATTTTACCCACAACCATGCAGTTAAACCGGATTTAATCTATTGGGATTGAATAAGTACATTTTAAGAACATCTTTTTTAATGTTTTCTATGTTTAATGGACATTGCTATAAAGGTAGCTTGCGTCGAAATATTGATCTAGTTATCAAGATATTTCCTCCATCTAACTTCCGCAGACACCTCCTTGACTTTTTAACTTTTAGATACAAAAACCATTATAGACATGAGTACTAGGAAGGTAGTGGTGGCAAGGAGACAGAAGAGGGAGTGGTCTACGCACCTGATATATATGTAACCTGCCACTAATTGAGTCGTAAAAAGTAAACATTCCATCTAGAGTCTCATGCTGTATATTCACCTCAGCAGTATGATCAGCTAATTCCTGCAAGAGATAGGTTTCACACGTGATGAAAATGAGAGAGAAAAAGATACGACTACCAGAAGGAGCTCAAATTGATTTATGCCAATGCCAGAGTTATTTTTTCTTAAATGATTATGAAATAAATATGCCAGTGCTGGAGTAGTATCTCTTTTCCAAATAAAAGCCCTCAAACATATTGTAGTAGAACCAAAACCTGTTGATGATCAATAGTCAGAAGCTCAAATGCCAGGGAGCACTTTAACAGGTCATACATGTGTATAAAACCAATAGACCAACTAGTTTGAAACCAAGCAAAACCAGCTCAATTTGGTTGGCCCATTCCTCACCTTTTTCAGAACATCCTTGTCCCAGGGTTGATTTGGACCAACAGAAGGCCCTCAAAAAGGAATTCCTTTTCTGGATAAATAGAAAAGCCTTTAAATATAATATACCAGAACCAAAATCTGCTTAATGACCAATAGCCAAAATCTTACATCCAGGGAGGAGTATAACAGGTCAAACATGTGCATAACACCAATGGACCAACTAGTTTGCAACCGAGCAAAACCAAGTTTGTTAGCCCATCCTCGTCTTTCTTAGATCATCCTTGTCCTATTGGGCTGATTTGTACCAACATAATAGTCACCATAACCAAGTGGTTCAAGACTAGTTGTGACCTAAACTTTATCTCCGACCATGTTACAAAGGAGAGGCATGCAGAAGATAAAGGAGGAGCTCACATGGTTCCACATATGTCATTACCAGCCAGAGAACTGATTCTCTCCAAAATCAGAGTCCAGTTTCCTTTTTCCCTTAAGATTAAATAGGAATAAGATACCTAACACATCCGGTTTTCTCAAATAGCCAATGCTTCCAAATGATGACAAATTCTAACAGATAAACGTTCTAGAAGAAGATTAAATGCATAAGATGTCTCTACAAAAGACATTTATATAATAGAGTTTAACTTGGCTGATTAGGAAATGCTATTATAATATTGTTTCAAAAAATATGAGCTGCTAGAAATAATAACACCAGCGAGTCATGTGAAAGATGTCACCATCTATCTTTGAATTATTTTTGGTATGAGGGAACTGTATAAATGCATAAAAAGAACATCCCATTGCCAGTTGATCGGAGTCTGTTCAAACAATTTGGGATATCATCCAGTAAAGCATTCTAAATCCATTCTGTAGTTATTGGAAAACTATGAAGAAAGAATATGTTCACTATACAACATGGCAGATACATAGGAGCAATGCATGTTCAGTTGGCAGATGTTCAATTCTAATCCTGACACCCAGAAACAAGAATTGTTGATGCATGTTCAGAAATGAGANGGGGGGCGCTAATCTCATTTAAACTACAAATAAAGGAAAGGAAAACAGATAAGAAGAGACACATCATCTGATAAAGTAGAATGATCCGTATGAGCATTGGGGACAGTGATACATGATAAACAAAGATGTATGTGCATATGCGTGTGTCTATATGTTAACAGGATTCAAAAGGTTTC